CCAGGCTAATGGCCGAGTGCTGTGATGTGCCCAGTGCGGGCACTCAGGGCACTCCAAGCCAGGACTGCTTTGCAGGCGGGGAACCCCTGAGAACTGTCTGTCCGGGGTGGGGGTCGGGTCCCTTTAAGCACAGCCCTCGGCTAGCCTGAGGCAGCAGCTCCACACTCTAAGTCCTAACCTGATGCACTGGTTCCAGCCAGCCTTAACCTCGGTTCAGGGTCCACTCAATGTGGACATGCTAGTTCGAATTAGCAAAACGCTAATTCGAATTAGTTTTTAGGTCTAGATGCACTAATTTGAATTAGCTTAGTTTGAATTAACTAATTCAAATTAAGTTAGTTCAAATTAGTGCTGCAGTGTAGATGTACCCTAAGATACATGCAGATTTCTAGGGCTCTCATGGAGGTCCCTTGCCCAGGCACTGCAAAAATACTCCCCACCATCAGCACCCAAGACCCTGGACAGTCTTCAGGAGTTTTGCTGTCATGGGTTCCCCTAATTGCTTTTGCCCCTAGAACTCCTCCTTGAGAATATAAGAATACATAAGAATGACCATACTGGATCAGACCAATGGTCCATCTAGCCCAACATCCTGTCTGCCGAAAGTGGCCAATACCAAATGCCCCAGAAGAAGCCATCACAAGAGGTATTCCTTATGTGATCCCTCTTCTGTCGCCCATATCCAGACAAACCGTCTAGGGACACCATTCCTACTCATCCTGGCTAATAGCCATTGATGGACTTAACCTCCATGAATCTATCTAGCTCTTTTTTGAACCCTGTTGAAGTCCTATCTTTTACCACATCCTCTGGCAAGGAGTTCCAGGGGTTGACTATGTACTGAGTGAAGAAAAACTTCCTTTTGTTTGTTTTAAATCTGCTGTCTATTAATTTCATTTGGTAATCTCTAGTCCTTATATTGTGGGAATAAGTAAATAACTTTTCCTTATTGAGGAGAGAGGGGTGCCAAACCTCAGAGAAGGAAGAAGTGTGAGCTACTGCACAATCTCTTGTCCTATGCTAGGAGCCTCCAGAGTGAGTACTTAGAAATACAAAAGGGATGAGCCATATTTCCCTTTGTTAATAAAGAATAAATGAAGAGACGTCCCTGTTTCATGCACAGGCTGTTCGATGTGGGAGGTCAGAGGTCAGAACGTAAGAAATGGATCCACTGCTTTGAGGACGTCACAGCGATCATTTTTTGTGTCGCGCTGAGTGGTTACGATCAGGTGCTCCATGAAGACGAAACCACGGTGAGTGCTTATAGGGCAAGTCAGGCCCCGACACCTCCTCACTGTTCTCCTGCATAGCCTGCCATCGCTCAGGGATTGTCTCGTGCTCTGTTCCTGGTTCGTATCAAATCAATGGACTTAATCACACATCTTCCCCTGACTCTGAAAGGGTGTAGAGATCCTTTCTTTCCCCAATCCCTGGAAATTAAGTCTTCCAATGCCCAGGTTGGCATTAACCCTGGTAACAGTTTCTTGCTCTGATTGAGTTATGATGTCATCTTTTCTCTCAAGCTGATCAGTGCAAATTGCCATGGGACATTAACAGAATTCTTAACCCAGAGGCTGTGTCTACACTGGGCCACTTATTCTGGAAAATCAGACGCTTTTCCGGAATAAGCTGCAAGCTGTCTACACTGGCCCTTGACTTTCCGGAAAAGCAACGATGCTCTACTGTACAAAATCAGCCGCTATTCCGGAAAAACTATTCTGCTCCCGCTCGGGCATAAGTCCTTATTCCGGAACACTGTTCCAGAAAAGGGCCAGTGTAGACAGCCCAGTAGTCTTTTCCGTTTTAAGCATTTCCGGAAATTCATGCCAGTGTAGACACAGCCAGAGAGTAGAGTGATAAGCAGTGACTAGGCACTTTCGAAAACAAGCATCAGGAAATAAATAAGCAGCGTTTGGAATATGCAGACACACACTGTTGTTGAAACACCACAAATTCCTCAGGCAGATTCAAGCTATTGGGGTAGGTTTTAATGCAAAAGAAATCCATTTTCATGAGAAACTGGAACTGTTCGACTCTTCAGTGGAATTTGTTCTATGAGATGGGATTATCTTTTATAATTTCTCAGTTATACTAGGCCTGAAATATGGCATGGAACTTGGAAAAAAGAGAAATTGGGATCCACTAGTTGCCAGATGATTGTGTGGCACCCTCATTAAGCTGAATGTGTTAGATGTATACACATATGAAGGGGGAGATGGGCATGCAATAGGAAAGACACCTGTGCAGTTGGGGAGATGGGCTATCAATAACAGAAATGGCAAGTAGTTGTAGGAGTATCCAGGTATTGTCTTTTAAAGGGAGTTGCAGTTGCCCAGCATTGAAGAACCAAAAGTCAGAACTTCATAAATGGTTTGTACATGCCCAATGTTCAACAACACCATGGAGATGTTATTGTCACCAGTTTGTGCAGGAGACTAATGTGTATTCCCTCTTTCCTGTTTGTAAAGGATCAGAAGTTAGAATGGACAAGCACTGGTGGGGAAGGATTCTAAAACAGCTTGTAACTTGCAAGCAATAATGTATCAATGAAAAGACTTTTGGGGCACTGATATTTTACACCTTCTAAGTCAGATTCATGTGCTCTGGTGAAAAGACCTCCTGCATGTTGAAATCCTATATTGTGTTAGTTTTTGTTACATTAATACCACAATTTAGTCTGATACTATTAACATCCTCATCCCCTAGATCTACAGAGTTGGATTGAGGTTCTAGATCATCCTACCTCACTCACACGCCTCCAGAAAACATTTAGGATGCACCAGCTATTTTAAAATATCTGTATTAACTAATAACCCTTTCTGTACATGTGTTTTCTGCTTCCTATGTATCTATAGCCCAAGATCAGAGATATTGGCTGGAATTTTCAAGAGCCTCTGGGAGTTAAGTGAAAATCAAAGGGAACTGGGCACCTAACTCTGTTAAAGCTCTTTAAAAATCCTGCCCATCAAATGTGCAGTCAATTTTCTGTAATAACATTAGCGTCATCTGCTATGCAGATCTAAAATAATAGGGTATGGCTGCTCTGTTCTGTGTTTGTGAGCCACATGTCTCCATAGCTTTCAAGAGACATTCATCTACTGAGAAGGTGATGCCCCTTCTGGAATAGGACATCTGCCAGTCACACGCTGTGGAGGAACATATGCAGGTGGGGAAGGACTCAATTAGAAAAAACACCTAGGGTCTAATGTGCACTGATGCTGATTACTGCTTGAAGTTGTTGGTGCTCAGGACTTCTGTAAATCAGGTTTATGTTGTCTCTCATTAGGTGCCAAAAAACAGACACTCCTGAAATTAATGGCCACTTTTTAGTGCTTTGGTCTTAATCTTGTCTTATCATCTATAAAATGGGGATAACATTTATTTACAGGGGTGTTTTGAGGCACTGTTATTTAATGTTTGGTGCTCCCCCACACCACCCATGTTCACAGACACATCAATGACCTCCCTAACAGAGAACAAACATACAGTGTTGATTCTCAATGGGAGCTCTCCCTAGTGTTTTATTGGGAATTTTAATTCACACTATAGTCTCTGAAACCCAGGTGCAGGCAGGAACAGCAGCTTCGGTAACTCCATTTGCGCCACACTCTCTCTATTAAGAATACTAGTTTTGGATTAATCTGAGGTGCAGGTCTTGAACTTTTTTCTGTGTAAATTTCTTTTTACAATTCACTCCCTGGTACTTTGGGCAACAGGAAGAAAGGCACAGATTCTGGCCATTTACGCTTTTTAGCATTTGAATGAACAGCTGTGCATGCAAATGAAAGAGAGAAGGTGGAAGAGGCAGCATTTTTTTACTGAACCAACTTCTGCTTTTGAACTTCCATGCTGTGATGTGAGAAACTACTGTCTGTAGGAATTTGCTACATCCGATAGTTTTTTTACAACAACCACTTTTTACAATCCCTTACATATAAATAAGTGCTACAGGTAGTAAATTCCTACAGGTTTCTCAGTCCATGTCAGACCCCCACATATCCTACCAAGAGACATACCCCTGTCAGCTGGAAGAGCCCCCGGCCTGCTGAAGCCGCAAGTCTGCATGGAGGAGTCCATGTCCAGCTGAATCCATAAAAGAGTCCACTTCCAGCTGCAGTGCAGTGCAGCTAATCAACTTTTCAGACCCCAAGCTGCCTGGAGAAAAGTGTCTCTCAGAGTCTCCTCCAGAAGAAGCTATTGCAATGCCCCGTGCAGGCTCCAGGGCAGCTGAAAAGGCCAAATATTTGCTATTCTTCTTCCTGGGTTCATAACTAATCTCCCTGCACTTGAGGGAAGCTGAATAAGACATACCGCCTCCTCAGTCTGCAACCTGCTTGGGGTATAATAAATCATAAACTTTCCTCCAAAACCCTGCAACCAGGGTGCGGGAGGCTGAGCCTTCCTGGCCTATTATGCCTGCTGTCCATGGGTCTAGGCAACCCTGCACACAAACTACCACAATGCTGCAAAGTGCAAATTAAGTGCAGGTTAGCCTACCTAACTCTTGTTTAACCTAACTAAACAGCTCCTGCTGAGTTCAAACACAAATAGTGATTTAAGAAAATAACAAATTCATTACCCTCGGCCACTTCTACAACTCCAATCTCCCATGCAAGTGGCGTGCTGAAACACCGTTTTGTCAGGAACAATTTCACCTAAGGCTTTAGTCACCACAATCTCCTTCTTTGAAGTATGGTTCTGCTTTAAACAACTGTCTCCTAGGTCAGGTGATTTAGCCCTTTGTGCATCAGCCACATCTGCCACCTTTATAGACAAAAAATGAGTTTTTACTGCTTCATACTTGTTAGCACAAGGGCAATAAACTGGATTGTGTTCTTTCTTACACTTCATCCACAGAAACCTTTACTGCATTCCCATCACTTAAACCTGTGTCAAACCATTGAAGGTCCTGAGATTGCTTAGATGTCACTTAAGGGCATAAAATAACTTGCAGAATCTGGTGATGAGGCATGAGAAAGAAAGAACCCAGCTTTTGAGTCAGATCTGAAAACAGATTTGCAAAGGTGGTGCTTGGAAAAAATATTTTTTCCTTGTAAAGTGAGTAAATCATTGACAATAACCATGAGAGCTCACACTGCCAATTTATATTTTTCTAAATAAAACTGTACATGAAATTGACAAAATTATAGTTACAATATAATCAGTCTGTATCTAATGAACATCCTGGATTTCTCTCACAGGGGTCAAATGGGCAACCAGCTGACTGAGGCAGCAGTACCTTGAGTTCTCTCTCTGTCAGGGTACATCTACAAAGCAACATTATTTTGAAACAACTATCGTTATTTTGAAATAACTTAGTCTGCGTTTACACAGCAGGCAATTATTTCGAAATAATGTCAAAATACTGTCAAGTTGGAGGACTTCTTACTCCGACTCCTGTAACCCTCGTTGTACAAGGAATAAAGGAAGTCGGAGGAAGAGCGCTCCATTTGAATTAAGTGCTGTGTAGACACTCTCAATTTCGAAATAAGCTGTTCTGAAATAAGTGATGCAATTGACATAGCTCAATTTGTGTAGTTTATTTTGAGTCAAGCCCTGCCGTGTAGATGGACCCTCAGTGAGCTAAACATTCCTGACAGCTTCTAGTTTTAGGCCAGTCCTATCAGATGAATTAGGCTGAAGCCAGGAAGTTGGTACTAGCTAATTCACTGGAGAGCCAACTTTTCAGCAACAAGTTCATTTGGGCACCTTGTCAAAGAGGAATTGGCAAATGAGGCAAGCCTTCCCCTCATCGTGAAACCTTGCTTGAAGTTCAGAAAAGTTGATCATTTTTAATCTACTTGTCATGACCCTTGTTTTAAAAACATGCCACTGTTCTCTGTTATTGCAGCATGTAGTACGCGTTGTAGTGTTTGAAACCACTACTTTATAGTAGTTACAATTTTCAGTAAGGGATGCCACTCCATGTCTGTAGTTTCAGCCAGGAACAGTAAAATATACAATCAAAACCAAAAGAAAAGCTAGTCCTTTTGCATGTCCAGCTCAGCCAAAACGAATAATCTTACGAGAAAGTTTCTTCACATGAAATTTCTTGACCTTAGGAATCTAAGCTTTGCATACATAGACAATCTAAACTTCCTGAATCCAGCCAGGCACTACTCCACAGTCAGCACATTCAAAGCCTTCTTCCATCCAACAGCCTGTCTGTGCAAGGTGCTGAGTGTGCTCTACTCCCAGAGCAGTAGGATGAAAAGTAGAAGTAGATAAACACAATGCTGTCAAAGCTCCACTG